GAAAGAACATGAGACCGCCCTGATGGTTTGTAAACATTTATGGAATTAGTGTGAAGAAAAGTAGTGAATCAGTTGGAGAAAAAGCACTTTAAGTGTGTTTCAAGAACAGGTTTTGTAAGGCCAGCGTGCTCTCATAAACGTGTTGGCATAAACATTTTGTTGGTGTTAACAGTCTGTGTGCTGTTTGCAGTTTCTTAAAGGAAAAAATCTGTACAGGGTAAAAAGGGTAATGGTCTTCATGCCCTGAAACCAACTTGTCTTTACTGATGGTGACACAAATAACACATTGTCTGTAATCACATGCAGAGTATTCTTGAAGTTGGCAAGTTAATACTTTATTTGCATTAAAATCTTGGCCTCAAGATTATACTTGTCATGCTCTGCCTGAAATAGCTCCGTGAAGTCACCCGATTTAATCGGTACATAGGAGATCCTATATATCCATTGATTCTGTGTTGTCTAATTAGTCTTTCTCCTGATCTCTTCATTTAGGCTTTTTGGTAAGCTTGTCCATAAAGTTAAAGTAAGGCAGCTGGTTTGGGAAAGTGTTTCCTCTCTCCTTTGGGGTGTTTTCCACCACTTTCCTTCCTGAGGCAGCAACTCGGTGCTTGCACACTGGAAACTTAAGGATTGCTCTGTGGATGCGCTTCGTGCTTGCTGCCACTTAGCTGAGATGTGCAGGTTGCCATGCTGCCCGCTGTGCGAGAAAGCAAGCCTTGCATGTTGCTTCTGCCCTCCTTCCTGCCATGGGCTTCCTTACCCCTCCTGCATCCTGCTCTGACCTCTTAAGTTTTTTGTTTTCACCCTGTGAGCTCACCTTTTCTCAAGTATGTGGATAGGCCATGGCTTCCCAGTCATTCTCTTCCCTTTTACCATGGTAGGTCAGCATTTGTTACCTAAAAAAGCACCAGTTTAGTGCTGTGACCCTTACCTTTCCCCTGAGGAGTTACTAATGTTTCGCAGCAAATGCTGGCTTGCACACAGCTTTGTCTTCCTGTTATGAGGATTTGGAGGCTCTCTTGCAGTTTCACCAGGGGTTGGGCTCTTCTTCCCCTCCTTCCTTAAGGAATCCGCTGTTCTCAATGAAACACTCTAGTGGAAGGTGTCCCTGCCCATGGCTGGGGAGTTGGAACTAGATGGTCTTTAGGGTCCCTTCCAACCCAAACCATTCTGTGATTGGTTCTGTGACAGCTTTTCTTACAGTCTGTGTTTCTGGGGTGTCTAAAATGTCTGAAGCCCCCTCTATGTTGGCAGGGCTGGCGTGGAGTGCGAAGCTGAACGTTGCTGAGCTGCCCTGCAGCTCGTCTTCCTGCAGAGCATGATGGTTTCCATCTTGTGTTGCACCTAAGCGCACCCCAAGCAGCTGATGCCAAACCTGGCTGCGGTGGGCTTTGTTGCGTTTGCTGTGAGGACAGAGTCTCTCCAGATTCTCCACGAACTGTTATGAATTGATTCTACGCTCTTTGGAGGGCAAACTCCACAGGCTTGGATGTCATCATGCTTGAATTATCAACCTGGATTACCCTCTGCTGTTTGCTAATTAACAGTGCTGCTTTTTTCATTTGCAGGTTGCAGGACTTGACACTCTATAATCCGGAAAGGACCATTACAGTCAAAGGCAGTATTGAAACTTGTGCCAAGGCTGAGGAAGAAATTATGAAGAAAATCAGGGAGTCCTATGAAAATGATATTGCTGCTATGAATGTGAGTGGTCTTGTGGCATGGGCCCTTTCTGAAACTAGAACCATGGAAAGATTTAGGTGTGACAAACCTCTGGAGGTCACCTGGCCAAGCAGGGAGGTTGCTCAACATAGGGCCTGCTTTAATGTTAAATGAGGTTGTGTAAGGACTTGTCCCCTCTTGAACATCTCCATGGGCAGAAAGTCCACAGTCTGTCTGGGCAGGCTGTGTCCCATCTCACAGCTCTTATTTCTTAATATTGCATCAGAAGTTCCTTGTTGTAATCTCTCTCTATTGCCTCTTGTATTAATTCGTGGGGCTTGGATGAGGTTTTTTTATTTCTTTGTTTGTATACTACATGAAGTCCTTTTCTGCTTTGTTTTTAGTAGGGGAACTGAGAGATTGATTTAGATTGAGGAAATTAATGAAGATTTCACTTTTTTCTTGTTTCAAAAACCTAAAGGAGTGTGTGTGTTTATGTACTACTGTGGTTTATGTGCTCTGGTTTGTATGTTTCTTAAAGCAGTGATTTCTAGTCTCTTCATGTTAAAAGCATAACATATGGAAGAAGGATCTCTCCTGCTTTCAATTATTTAATTTAAGAAGGCTTAATTAAGGTTTTTCTTGATATAGATGATAAAGGGATTTAGTTAATCAAAGATGATTGGTGATTATATAATAAAAACAACACACCTTATTAGTTTGCCAAAATATTACTAATGCATATTGAGAAATGACTGAGATTTTTGATAAGCTATAAAGAGCTTTTTGTGTGTGTATCCATATCTTATGGTGTAGAATCAAACTAGAAATATTTTTATTCTGTTTATAGTAGTCTCTGATTTTCTAGAAATGGCTGTTCTTCATGGTTTTCTTGCTGGCTAGAGAGAATATTCTCCCTGCTTTTCCCTTCCCTCCCATACTGTAAGCAAATTGTAGAACACACACTACACATGAGGATACAACATTGTTTTCTAGTGGTACATTTTTGCTTCATATAGCGAGCAGGAACATGAGGTGAGCTTGAGGCTGCTCTACTGTTTGGCAAAGGTATAGTAAGCAGAAATCTTCCTCTGTTACTGGGTAGATTTCAAGTTTAGTTTGTAATGATTATTATGGTAGTTTTTTAGCTAGTGAAGTTTTTTGGGAGTGTTTTTGGTATCTCATGATTGGCTTATCTTGGTGGTCTGGGATGGTGTCTGCCTCCAGCTGAAGTATTTCTAAGGCAAAGGTACTGGCAAGTTTTGTAGCATGGACCACAAATGCTTCTTACCATGTGATGCTGCCACTTTTCTCAGGTGTGATCAAGTAAGGGACATGCTACTTCAGAGCTGATGCTTTCCCAGCAAATGCTGGGGATTTCTTCATTTTTGCAAGGCATGGGAGGGAGGATGGAGTTATAATCTAGCATATAACCCTCAGTGTATGAAAAGTCAGGGCTTGTTCATGGGCTTTCTCTCTTTCTATAGGGCTGTCATCTTAGTATAAAGCCAAAATTATTATATTATTTCTCTGATTTTGTTCACACTGAAAATAAATTGTACTGTTGCCTGAGCTTCTTGCTATAAAGTTTGTTGTATGTTTTGCTAATTAAGTTACAACAAGTGATTCTTGGCTGCCTTTCCCACTATGAGTTTTTAATGTCATTGGTCTGTGAATATGTCTGGGAAATAGGATTGAAGCAGAGTCCTTGGTGTAATAGATAATTTTTTTTTTTTTTAAATAATGCGTGGACATGTTCTCAAAAGGTTAATAGCCTATGCCAACTGGGATTTTGATTAAAGTTAATAACCAGGATTGTAATCTCTTCTGCCATTGCAGCTTCAAGCACATTTAATTCCTGGATTAAATCTGAATGCCTTGGGTCTGTTCCCACCTTCTTCTTCAGGAATACCACCTCCTGCAGTGAGTGTGGCCTCCGCTGCTGCTGCTGCTTCATATCCACCGTTTGGGGTAAGGGAAGTCTCTGATTTTGGATGACCTAGTAGTTTGTGATACTAATCTGTACAATGCTGCTGTTCAAAACTAATCAGTTTACTGTATTTTTGCCAAATCGCCTCAAAGATCTGGGAACAGTGTTTTAGTAGCTGTTCTGTCAGTTTTCTAAATGTTTTCTGTCTTCCTGCTTGCACACTGAAAATATTTCACGTGGCTGCGGTTGGGAACAGGCATTCATAGGTCGTTTACTGAAAGGCTCAGTGAAACCAGAAAATGGTGTTTCTTAGAAAAGTGTTAGATCCTATTTTCTAGAGAACTTGAATTATTACAGAAACAAATGTCCTATCAAATGGAACTTAAAAATTGCTGGAATTTGCGATTAATGCTGGTCTGTGACTGTATTCCTGTTGATAGGGAAGGAAAAAAAATCTCTTGCCATAAAGTAGGGATCTCTATGTAGCTAATATGTATGTTTGAATGTAGTAGCTTTGTAAACGTATAAGCCCTGTTGAAATGCAGTATTGCTAAATATATAGGATTTAAATCACATGGATTCATCTCCAGAAAGCTGTGATTTACTTGCCACATTGCTCTCTGAAATATGTGAAAGGGTTTGATAGAATCTTATTCAAATCCAGTGCTGATTTATAATCAGAAAAGAGGTCTTTTGCTATGGAGCAGAAGGTAATTTGTTGTATCAGAAAGTTCCAAAGTATTTTTGGAAAGAGTTTATGCTCTGCTATTCAAGAAGAGACCACCTCGTTACACAGAGAAGGTGACTTTTCATCTGTCCCTCTGTTTCTGGTGTGGTGGTTGTTAGCAATCCAGTGGAAGACGAATTTTCAAAATGAACTCTAACAAGTGGATGACAGAGCTTTACCAACTCTGTGGTTGACTTTGCTCTCTTCTTTGCTCAATGGTAACCTCTAGAGAGCTAAGTCTGAGACTCCTCATGAACTAGAAAAGTGAACATGCAGCACAACGCATTGAACTTTATCAGATACCTCAAGTGGGTCTATATATATTGCACCAAAGGGAAGTTGTTGCCTAAATATTTTTCCCAGAGGAAGAAGCCAAGAAAATGTCACTGCAAGGAATAGGAAAAATTCCACACTCGTAGCATTGTTTGTGGGAATGAACAACTTGGGTGTTATGACCGTGCTATAAACTGAATTGAATATATAATAGTTGCTTTATCAGGAAAAAGTGCTCCAGTGATAACTACCACAGAAATATGTTTATACTTGGTTGTTTTCCTGCTAATAGCAGTGCCTCTATGACAAATTCTCTTCTCCTCTTGCTCCAGTCCTCCTGCATTTTGATTAGTGGCAGACCAAACTACAAAATACAGGTTCCTGCTTCATTGTATTGTATAAAATGTCATCTGTGGTAACGGATTACCTCCATTTCATTCTTGTTTTTGAGAAACTAGAGGTGATTTGTCCAGTGTATAACTTTTAGTGGTAATGAAAAGAGTAACTTTTTACTCCAGATTTGCAAACTACTTTGATATTCTTGATATCCACACTGCAAGCCTACACTTCTGTTCCTCACTTGGGTATTTTAATTTCTTTCCTGTTTTTTTTTCATTTTGTTGTGGTTCCTTCTTGCTTTTGCTTTAAACACGCACCTAAACAGTGCAGAGTTTGGTGATTTCGATTTTATTGTTGGCTGTCCCTCTGTTGCTGGTGCACCTTTACCCCCCACCCTCCCTCCCTTGCACCTTTTTTTGGCTTGCTAGGATCTCTGGCAATTTCCAGGTTTCTGGAAATAGGAAAAAGACATCAAGAAACAATTGTATGAAAGGTCCTTCCTTTGCAGCTGGAAGGACCACACTGTCTGATCCCTCTTGTTCCTGTCCATGCTCTTTTCTCGGTCGTCTGAGTAAGCTCTTGTTCCAGACAGCCTAGACGTGTGACAAGCTCACGTGCAAAGTGAAGGGATAAACCCGCAGATTCAGAGGATAAATCCTGATGGCTTTTGTGGAGGTTGGGGGTGGTACCAAGACAGGCCCTGGCCCTGATGCTAAGGGCTTCTGAAACTAATGCATGAGCAACTGCAACTCTTGCCTGTTCTCACTCACGTGTGACCTCAGCTGGAGAAGAGCAGGTGGATCTGTGGGCTTCAGGCAAGTCAGCCTTGGGGTTTTACTTGGGGTAGCTGTTCCTCTCTGGGGAGAGGAAAACAAGGAAAAGTATGAGTTTGCATTGTAATGGATGCAGTTTTCCAGAAAACAAGGTTTCTATTCGTTTTTACTTTACTGGAGAGGCTCTCAAACATTGCTTGTGTATGAAGTTAGCTTCTGTAACTTCTGAATTTTACTTCTCTCCCCTAATTTTTTTTTTCTTTAGTAGAACAATTTTTAAGACACAGATTAAATAGGATATTGGGGCATGTGGAAGTGGAAGGAGCAAAATAAAAGCATTGGCTATATTTTGAAGGAGAAATGGAAACAATGTGAAAGGCTAAAGGTTACCATGGGGGGGAATCTAGGAGAGATCATAACAGATTTAAAAAAAAAAAAAAATCTGCATGAGTAAAAGAGGCTTTGGGGAAAGAAGGTCTTAAGAGGCATTAATGAAGACACCACAAAGAGACTTTATGTCCATTCACCTACCTTTTGTATTACCAAATTCCTTGTTTTGGTAAAAGCATTTGGGCACCCCAAGTCCCTCTGGCTTGTTTTGAGTGGATGCCCTTGTATGCCTGGGAGGGCTGGTTAGCTGGCATTGAGGATACCCCTTTCAGGCAGCTGAAGATCCTTTCTGAAAACACTGCTGGCTTCAGGGTGTAAGTGGTGCATCCTGCTACTCTCTTGCTTATTTTTGCCAGTGAAATTTTGCCTTCTGCTCAGGGCCGGACGTGGGTAGCTCTTCCCAGTGTCCTGCTTGAGCAAAGGTGTGTTTCTCAGCAACTTCAGCCACACCATTGTTAGGGGTCTCTTGGCATCTAATGTCATTTAAATCCTGTTGTGAGTGTGTACTTACAAACCATATAGTGAGCCTTTGGACCCCACTATGATGTGCCTGTTGGGTATGAGGCTTTTGTTTGAATGTCTTTGGATGTATGGACTCTTTCTTCACCTGGTGGTGGAGACGGGCTCGCAAATGGCTCTCCCTTGGGTCAGAAGAGGTAGGTGGGTGAGCTTTGAGCATTTGCAGAAGAGTTTCTATATGGGACTGAGCCTTCATATGTGGTGTTTTCTAGTGACAAGGACTTGCTGTGGCCTTGTGTAGGACTTGTTCTCAAAGAAACTGAGGTGGTGTTAATTATTGAAACAATTCTGTCACGTTCCTGATGCTGCCTTTTTTTATATGGGTGTAAGAAAAAGTCTGCATAGTAACCAGATCTAGGATTTTCTTACACTGCCAGAGCTTAAAGTGAGAGGTCTGAACACCCATACATTCAGCTGTAGGTAAGTGTTCCTAAAACCGCGTATTTGGGAGCTTGGGACTAAGTAATTAGGTTTAGCTGTGTTAATGTAAGCTGTGTGATGCTTCATATGCTGCTCTTCCTCGTGCAAAACTTTAAGACATATTTGACAAGAGCATAAACACTGTTCTCCAGCTGTTTCAGGAACAGTCCGGTGTCACAAACTTGGGAGATGGTGATGTCATCAAACACTGGCTTGCATTTAGCTCCTTGGATTGGGTCACGTTCAGGAGAACAATTTCCACGTGACTGAGATGTCATTCTCTGTGGTCCATCTCCACAGTGGTTCACACCAGTGTGTAACACTGCAGTCTTACTGCATAGAGCTTTGTCTAACTTAAACTAGCGAGATGAAGTTTGTGTCGCTAAGAATCTGGTGGTTGCTTTAACCTTTGTTCTGGCAGTAGAGTCCACACAGGAAGGCACAGGCTGCCCTCTGTACCTGCCTGGTTACAGACGTAAACAGGCACGTGTGTGCATGTGATGTGGCTAACAGTGCCTGGGCACCACATCTGGTGCAGGCTAACCATTCTTTTTTAAAATATTTACCAATCACTAGCAACAACTCTTTATCTTGCGACTGTATAATCTATTTGTGAAGTCCAAGCTCTGCTTGGCTGTTTAAGGCACTCATTTTGTCTACAATGTAAAAGGGATGCGATGGAATTGCATGTTATTTCGACTCCTGAATTTTCCTGTCTTTTTGCAAAAATCCAAGATCTGTATACTTTTTTCTGGCCTCCTAAAAGACAAGTAAATTGGAACATGTGGGAATTATTAAAAAATGTTTTTAAGGTTTGAGAAAAAAGTAGGACTTAAGAAATGTTTCTGTTAAGAATATTAGGAGTTAAAAATTCTTTATACTGCCAAATGGGCATGATTTTTCTCATATGATCCTGGTGATATGATAAAACTAATGGGTTTTTTTGATGATTATGTGTCCTTGTGTGACCATACTAAGGGACCGGTAGCCTTTCTGTGCCTATGTGTGTCTGATGTCTCTTCCAGCTGCTTTTGAGCCCGGAGAACCTTCACTTTCTTTTTACTTTTAAATCCTGCTCCTTAACTGCACTTAAATGCTTGTGTGTGTGCAGTTCTGACACAATTACTATTAGTTTCATTAGTCTGCCCACTGTCACTCATAATGAATGTCACAGGCTGAGCACCTTCAGGAAGAACTGAGATTTGTATGAGGAGGACAGTATGATTCTGCAAAAGTGAATATGCCCTGTGCTTATGCGTTAGAAATGGTTTTAGAAACTGTCCCAGCCAAATGGCTTCAGGTGTAGTTTTGTCCTGCTCAAAGCTGTTTTGGTAAAGTTGTTGCTTCTGTCTTCTGGACTCTGGGGAGGATAGGCACATGCATGTTTCTCAAGAACAGAAGTTTGTTCTCATGCAACACTGAAGACTTTAAAGCTCCAAACAAGAAATCTTTGTCTTAGAGTTTGGCTGTGTAGTCATGCAATGAAATACACGTAGCCCATCTACTGGGGTTAAATGGGTTGCACCCTTCCTTTTATAATTGAAACTTTGTGTGTTTAAATGTACATACTACTGCATTTCTTTTTGTAGTATTTGGGTCT